GAGTTCCATATGCTCTTCAATTGTAGGAATGCTGTTTTGCATTTTCCAATCCTTGCCTTCGCGTCTGCATCAGATCCTCCATATTCATCGATGATGCTACCCAGATAAATGAAAATTTCCACCTCTTCCAGTGTTTCTCAATAAAGTGTGGTTGAGTGGGTGTTCTCCTTGTTGTATTTGAGGATGTTGCATTTTCCCTTGTGTATGTTGAGGCCTTCGATCGTTGGTTGAGTGACAGCTATTGGAAGGTCTGCGGAAGCCACTTCGATGGCCAGTGAATTCAATGATGCTGATCTAGTCAAGAGTTCCTCAAAGTTTTATACCCATCTTTTCTTCCATTCTCAAACCCCAGTGATTGGCTTGCCTTCTTGGTCCTTGATCGATTTCTCTGATTTACTACATTTCCCTACAAGTTTCTTCGTTGTGTCATGTAGTTGTTTGTTATTTCCTTCTCTTGTAGCTTTTTTCGCTGTCGTTGCTACCTCTTCCATGTATTTCTGCTTGTTGGCTATAATACTCCTGTACGCTCTCTTCTTCGTTTCTGTGTATTCGGCCTGTGCCTTGACTTCCTCTATTCTTGTTAGGCTGTTGTTAATTGCTGTCTTCTCGTCTTTCTTTAATTAAATCCTCCCCACGGTTTCGATAGAGATCCATTCCTTATGATCATGCTTCTTGAAGCCCAGAACCTCCTGGAATACTGAAGTCAGTGCTTGTTTGATCAGTTCACAGTTGGTCTCCATAGTAATTTCCTCTTCTTTCAATAGATCTTATAAGACTTGGAATGTGTTGTTGAGAACTATCTTCAATTCGTTAGGTTTGTCAGTATCTCAAAGATAGGCTATATTGAACATTGGTAATGCTGTTTCTCCAATTATCTAGTGCTTCTTTTGTTTCAGTTTCATCTCGGACGCCAACAGGTGGCAATAAGAACCTATGACAGCTCCTCTCTTGGTTCTCACGTCTTCTGTTTTCCTTGTAAAATCTTTACGGATGCAGATATGATCGATCAGGTTCTGTGTAGTGTGATCCGGTGAGACCCATGTAGCATTGTTCATGTATTTGTGGAGGAATATTGTGCCACCTATAACCATTTTGTTGGATGCACATATATTCGCAAGTCTCTCGCAATTCTCGTTCATTTCTCATAGGCAGTCTATGTCGCCTTCATGACCGTTGTTGTCCAACCCGACTTTGACATTAAGATCTCCCATCAGGATCGTAAGGTTCTTTCCTGTGCACTTCACTATAGTCCATTGAAACCTCTCACAATACTGATGTTTATCGTCACCATTGATACCATTGATGGGTGAACAGCACTGGATGACATTCATTGTATTCCCCTCCTCCTTTGTTTTAAATAATGCTTTGATGATTCTGGATGCATGAGATTCTCATACCAGAAGTGAATTTCGTGCTTTACTGAACAGCACCTGAGCGAATCCCTGAGTGTGTTGAGAAGTTTCTTCTTCGTGGCCAGAGTACAACAGCATCTTTCCTGAATATATCCTTTTCTGTTCAGCTTGAATCCAATGGATTTCGCTGATTCTGACAACTGCCAAGTTGTATTTCTTCATTTGCGCATATATTTGGTTGATCCTCACAGTCTCCAACACTTCCTGGACGTCCCATGTACTTGTAGTATTTGTCGTTCTGGTTGTTAGAAGAAGAATCAGCCACATGACTTCCGAAGAATATCGGCTTGCATCATGAGGTGTTACATTTCTTCCTTTAACTTGGAGGGTATAGATAGTTCTAGAATAGTTAATGGTGAAGTATACAGTACTAACTGCGTTTACTGTATCAGAAAGAATCAGGATAGTACCTCGTGTATTTTTGCTTGAATTTAAAAGCACAGTGAAACATGACTCATATTTTATTACTAAGTAAAAAAAACTGGGAATGTTTGGTTTCTTAAATGTTTAAAATTGATTTTTTTTAAATATCTACCATGCAACCAAATTGTGAATATGATATGATACTTAAGTTAGATTACAAGAGATCTCTGCTCCTGATGTTCATTGTGTGTTGAATCAATTTTTTTATTCAGAGTACAGTCAAGAGTGTTTTTGTAAGTAGATAAAAAGAAGTGATGAAGAATTATTGCATCACAGCTGATGTCAGGTGGTGACAAAATCCTCACAGGTTTATAGCCCTAACTCACAACACTAACCCAAGTTCTTATATGCAAACTCAACCTTTTTCTTTTAAGATAAGACATAATTTAACATGCAACGGATTGATTATCATATCAAAACCGCGATTTCACCGTAGTTTTATTGTATTTATTCTAAAGTTGTTAATTGTTTTATGACTAGATGTTGTTTTCTGATTGACCAATAAGTCACTCAAGGTCGTCAGTTCGGCATAGTTTTACCGAAGTAATTGTAATTGTAATTGTAATCATAGCTAATGTTGTATATTTTTTAATTTTATTTAATTTTGCTTTGAACATTCAATTCCACATCTTCATGATAGTAATGCTGATAATTACACTGCATTGCTAAGTAAATGATCAGAATTTTATCTAATGTTCGTTTGTATTTGTTCAGCTTTGATTCTACTATTTCCAGGTGCCCCGTTATGCTGTACTGATTAGTTACCACATGTCACATATGTTACATATACTATGATTAGAATATTCATACGAAAGCTTTGCGACACTTTCACTATTCTAGAATTCTCCTATCCATATTACGATTTTGGCATTTTATTCATAGATATAAGGTAACAATCGAACCGACATTGACTATCTTAATTTGGGTCAGAACATGTTCAAATGCAAAGATCATAGACCTCATTCAATTCAACTTGTTAGATTGGATTTAGCAATGATTTGCAACGAATTAAGTAAATTTGTCATAAAGCGAAAAGAAGGCACTAGTTTTTCTAATATTCATTATATTTTACGAAAGTTTGTTTTTAAAATAGGATAGTGCACTTTCAAGTATTTAGCAATCAAACTGATCTGGAATACAGTTATCAATTACTTTTTGACGTATTCATAATTGGTCAATCAGCACAAAATATTATTGGGAGGATGAGGATTAATGTTAAGTAAACTGAAGTTGAGTGAAATTTATTCGTTCAACGAGGTGGTCTTCACCAGATTAATCAATGTCCATTACTAGATCGAAAACTGAATGCATTCTAAAACATGCATATTTCATTCTAACTGGTCAATACACAACATGAAGAAGTCACAGTTCGATTTGCTGCATGATTTGTTTAAAAGTCTTGAAGTAACACTGAATGTATCTCTCCTTTGTTGTTCTCCGATTTGACTTGTTAGGGGACTCACGATAAACAACCTAATGATCATTCAGTTGAATAAACTAATATCTTTCAACTTGTTTCACACCACTCACTCCTCTCAATGAAAACTTGAACAGATCAATCTTATAACAAAATAATTGTATTCATTTAAGCAGAATAGTTAAGCGAACGTATCTTGTTACCACATTTTGTTAGGAGATCAATCAAATGGAGTATAGGGTAAAGACAGAGGGAGAGAGAGAGAGGGAGAGAGAGAGAGAGAGAGAGAGAGAGAGAGAGAGAGAGAGAGAGAGGAGATAAGGAAATACAAGAAGTGTGAATAATAATATTTTCATTTGTTAATACAATTCTTGTTAAGCGAAACAAATACTTTCATAATTGTTTGATGACTTCAATCATTTTAAATGTATGAATAATAATGAAATTGGTAATTAGATTATCCCTTGATAAGCTTCATTAAGAGCCGACGATAATTACTCGGTGTTTCATTCCATAAAGTTCGATTAATAAATAGATCTACCTGGTCGTCTCTTGAACACCAACTACTAAACTAAAATAAAATATATTTGAGAAATAAAATTTGTAAAATTATTTCCTTTTATCACGTTTGATCACTTGATAAATAATTTCAATGCAAAAGTAATGCATGGTAGAATTCGCTACAAATTATGCCATCAATTATTATCAATGAAGGATATGACATACATTCACATAAGTCGAACTAGTATGCTACAAATGAAACATTGGGATTTATCAAGATGGAAGATAATCTAGTCGAAACAATAGTGGGAGATTATATATGAAGGTTCTTGTTTGATTGATTCATATCTTTCACAACTTAATGCTGGGTCGGCTTCCGGAGAACTTCAACGGAGCCTCCAGAGGCCCACAAGGAGCCGAAGAGTCCTGGCCAATCAGAGTGTGATGGAACGTTCTAGAATTCCAACGTGGCTTGCTACTATTGGTCGGTAGCATAATGTGTTGTTATCGGATTAGCTGTAAAATGATGTTGATTTAACAGACGCCAAAATCTATAAATACCCATGATTTTCTGTACAAAGATGAACCTTGGAATAAAGTGCTTTCTCTCATTCTTGTGTCTTCTCTCTGGAGTTCAAGTCGCTGTGTAGTTCTAGACTGCGGGTTATCGGAATAGCTTAGGAATCGTATAAAGCGTTCAACCTACACGGCTTATCAGTGGCGACGGGGATGAAAACTTCAATAAATATTTCCTTGGAGCAATTAGAAGCTTATATGGTGCGTCAAGAAAAGAGGTTTGAAGAGTCCCATATTAGAATCATGGAAACCCTGATGCAGAAATTCTGCCTGTCCGAGAAAAACCCTGCTTCTAGTGAATCTCAAGTATCACATACTGATTCAGTCATTAACGCCATTCATGAATTTAATTTTGATGGTGTAGCAGGTGTAACTTTCGAGTCGTGGTTTAAGAAGTATGAAGATTTGTTTTATATTGATCTTTGCAAACTCGATGATGCTTCAAAAGTCAGAATACTTCTTAGAAAACTTGGGACTATGGAACATGAACGCTATAGCAACTTCATTCTTCCGAAGAACCCACGAGATTTTAGTTTTGATGATACAGTCAAAACCCTATCCCAAATCTTCGGAGAACAATCATCTCTATTTAATATCCGTTACCAGTGCTTAAAGTTAACGAAAGAACCAGGAGATGATTGGGTGAAGCATGCAGGAACTGTGAACCGAGAATGTGAGAGGTTTAGATTGTCGTCCATGTCTGAAGATCAGTTTAAATGCTTAGTATTTATCTGCAGCCTGTGTTCACCCGAAGATGCCGATATCCGAACCGGAATCCTAAGCAAACTCGAACACTGCCCTAACATGACCTTGCAGGAAGTGACTACCGAGTGCCAAAGGTTAGTAAACTTAAAGCATGATACCTCAATGGTAGAAAATGGTAACTGTTTCCGTAACGTCAATGCAGTCAAGAGAAAAGTCTCTCAAGGTTCCAGTACCCATAATTTCCAAAATAACAGCGACAAACCATCATCTCCATGCTGGGCATGTGGAGGTTGGCACTATAAGAGGTTTTGCCCATATAAAGAACATCGTTGCAGCAAATGTCATCGGAAGGGGCATAAAGAAAACTTCTGCAGGAGAAGAGACTATAGAAAACGTTCCGTGAAATCTTACTCAACGAAATACAGATATAGTGCTCCAACCAACAAGATATTGGTATCACATAACAGAGCACGAAGTTGCCACCAAAGAAAGTATGTGACCTTGAATATTAATAAACACCGTACCCGCCTTCAGCTGGACACAGCTTCTGATATTACTTTAATCAGCCCGGAAACGTGGAAGAACATTGGGAGACCCACAGTTTTCCAACAACACAGCTGGCACACAGTGCATCTGGAGGAAAGTTGAATATTGTTGGAGAAGTGCCATGCATTGTTTCTAAAGGTACGGTAACAACAAATGCAACATTGTATCTTACTAAGAAGCCAGCACTAGACTTAATGGGGTTGGACCTTATAGAAACACAAACTAGCAGATCATTCTATCAACAGTATCTGCAGACGAGTAAGTACAGACAACACCCCAGAATGGAATCAGAAAAACGCCATGCTACAAAGACATCAAAACGTGTTTAGAGAAGGACTGGGAGAATGTACGAAAGCTAAAGCACTGTTAACTCTAAAACCTGAAGCTGCTCCCGTTTTTCGACCTAAAAGACCTGTACCCTATGCTGCTCTTCCAATAGTTGATCAAGAATTACAACGACTTCAGCAAATGGGTGTTATCGAGCCTGTGAACTTCTCGAATTGGGCTGCACCAATAGTGGTGGTCAAGAAGTCGAATGGAAGTATTCGTTTATGTGCAGACTACTCCACGGGATTAAATGAAGCGCTACAGTCTCACCAGTATCCGTTACCCTTACCAGAAGATCTTTTCGCTAAGCTGAACGGTGGCAGATATTTTGCAAAATTGGACTTTTCAGACGCATACCTACAAATCCCTGTATCTGATGAAAGCAAAGATCTCTTAACGATCAACACGCACAAAGGTCTGTTCCGGTATAACCGACTACCTTTTGGGGTAAAGACAGCGCCCTCTATTTTCCAGCAAATTATGGATACCATGTTACAAGGTATTCCAGGAGCTGCAGCTTACCTAGACGACATCATAATTACGGCAGTAGATAAAATGGACCTGCGGAAGAAACTGGACCAGGTACTAGAACGCATAGCTGATTATGGTTTTCGCCTCCGAGCGGAAAAGTGTGACTTCTATATGCAGCAAGTACGGTACCTTGGGTTCATAATAGATAAAGACGGAAGACGACCAGATCCAGAGAACATTGAAGCAGTGAAAACAATGCCTAGACCCAGGGACGTTACAACCCTACGATCATTCTTGGGATTGGTCAGTCATTACGGTACCTTTCTCTCCGATCTCCATCGTCTACGTGCTCCACTAAACAACCTACTACAAAAGAACACAAGATGGAATTGGTCTGCAGACTGCCAAGCATCTTTTGAGAAAATCAAGCAACTCCTAACTTCCGATCTCTTATTGACACATTATGATCCTTCTCTACCAATAGTCGTCGCTTCAGATGCTTCTAACTATGGTGTGGGCGCAGTTATCTCTCATATTTTTCCTGATGGGTCTGAAAAAGCTATCTCACACGCTGCCAGATCTTTGACAACGACTGAAAGGAACTATAGCCAAATCGAGAAAGAAGCCCTATCGATTATCTTTGCAGTGAAAAAGTTCCACAAGATGATATATGGTCGACATTTTACCCTAATAACAGACCATAAGCCACTACTTGCAGTTTTTGGGTCAAAGAAAGAAATTCCTGTTCATACAGCTAACCGACTCCAACGATGGGCAACCACACTTCTGGGTTACGACTTCAAGATCAAGTATCAGTCTACTACCGCTTTCGGGCAAGCTGACGCATTGTCGAGATTAATAGGCTCTCAATCGAAAACCCCGGAGGAGACTCTTGTAGCAAATATAAAAGCCGAGGAAGAAGTTCATCGCGTGTTGGATGACGCAGTTAATGGACTCCCAGTAACCTTTGAAACTATCAAGAAGATAACTGAAAGTGATAAGATACTGAGCTCAATTAAATGCTATCTCTCGACCGAATGGGCAGACAATTGCCTTGACAGGGAAATTTTGCAATATTTCCATCGACGGGACTCACTAATGGTTGTCGACTCGTGTATTATGTTCGGTGATCGCATTGTTATTCCGAAGTTATTACGTCACAAGGTTCTCAAGCAGTTTCACAGTGGCCATCCTGGAATCAGTAAAATGAAATCTTTGGCTCGTAGCTATGCTTATTGGCCGTCAATGGACAAAGATATCGAGAATAAATGCCGTGACTGTTCATCATGTATTCAAGCCGCTAAAAGTCCTTCGAAATGCGAACCTCAGTGTTGGCCTATGCCCGCGGGACCCTGGGTAAGACTTCACGCAGATTTTGCCGGTCCAATCCACGGGAAAATGTTTCTAATTATCGTAGATGCATTCACTAAATGGCCGGAAGTATACATCATGCCAAATTGTACAACGTCAGAAACGATTCGCAAGTTGTCTACCCTATTTAGCAGTTTCGGAGTGCCAGAGACCTTAGTGACGGATAACGGCTCTCAGTTTGCCGCAGAATCGTTTAAACATTTCTGTAGAACAAACGGAATAAATCATCTTCGTTCTCCACCCTATCATCCACAATCAAACGGACAAGCAGAGCGCTTTGTGGACACTTTTAAACGAGCATTACTGAAAGGGGGAGGAGAAGGGACGACTGAGCAGGTGATCACAAAATTTTTAACATCATACAGATCCACTCCAAACCCAAATGTTCAAGACGGCGAATCTCCCGCGGAAGCCATGTTTGGAAGGCGTATTCGAACAGTCTTCGATGCCATGTTGCCATCCAAACTAGTGGATGAGCGTAGTCGCGATCCAAGTATCCGGAACTTCAGTATTGGCGACAAAGTCTACATTAAATCCTACATCGGGAAGAACCGATGGGAGCCGGGCGAAGTAGTGCAAAAACTGGGAAGAGTACTGTACAAAGTTCGAGGAGCTTTTGGGACATGTATACGTCACACAAATCAAATCCTTAAGGACAAAAGAACGGTGCAGACGCGAAGTAACCGGCCGACTTTCCCGTTAGATTTAATCTTAGACGCACCAATGCCACAAACGCCCAGGAACACTGAAAAGAAGTCTTGGACAAGAAAGACGACAAGAATAATGGGACGCCGTCGCAATCCAGTTATCAAACTACAAGTGGATCCCAGAAAGAAATCTTATTCGGGGGAGGTGTTGGGTCGGCTTCCGGAGAACTTCAACGGAGCCTCCAGAGGCCCACAAGGAGCCGAAGAGTCCTGGCCAATCAGAGTGTGATGGAACGTTCTAGAATTCCAACGTGGCGTGCTACTATTGGTCGGTAGCATAATGTGTTGTTATCGGATTAGCTGTAAAATGATGTTGATTTAACAGACGCCAAAATCTATAAATACCCATGATTTTCTGTACAAAGAT